GGAGTAAAATCTGATGATTTGAGTAGATGTTGCAGCTTCTTTCAACTACGAATAAGTTATGACAAAATTTCGATAATGCGGCGGTTTGTACTAGCAGCGTCCATCTTCATAAAATTTGGCTTTACGAGAAGAAGTCGCTTATTGCTGAAAATGTACTGGTATCTCCCGCATCGATGGTCTTGACGTAGAGGAACTTGAAAATATGAAAATCGTGAGAGTTTCTAGATCTATTATATCACTTGTTTCCACATTTAGTGTAGGCTCTCTTTAAAGGAGGGATGTCATTTGTGTTGATTATTCAGCTGATTACTCACGTTTGAGGTAGAGATGCGAGCGTGTTCAGGCACTATAGACCAGTACCATCGCAGGAATATGTTGAGGAATTGTTCAGCATCTTGGTCTATCTGCACGTTTAGGTTCAAGGAAAAAGTCGTAGAGCAGAAGTTAGGAATACTAGAGAGGACTTTTGATATCCAACAAAAATTGATGAATGAAAGAAACTCTTTACTTGCAATTTGCAAAATTGTATCATAAAACACTGCCTTTGTGTGGCTATCCGCAAAGCTTATATGCCTCAAAATTGATCAAAATGTGTAGAGGCAGGATGCATTCGGTTCATAAGTCGAAAAAGAAAAGACAGTGTAAGTTGTCTGCGAATGTTCATAAGGAAGAACTGCGCTATTTTTAGATAGGACCTTTCAGTTAACCACATCAATACAGTGTGCTTTTCCAGCAGTAGATTTGCGGACATGATTCTTGACTATAATCGCAATGAAATGTTTTTGGCTGGCCTGCGATCTGTTATCCAAGAGAAGAAAGCACAATCCATTCCTGCTCACGTTTTAGATATAGGTAGGCTATCATTAACCAAAATTTTCTACTTCCTCATCTTGTGGTGGCTTCTCTTAGGTACGGGAACGGGTCTTCTTTCACTGATGGCTGCGCGAGAAGGAGCTGAAAAAGTCACAGCTGTGGAGGTTTTTCAGCCAATGGCTGATTGCGCACGAGCCATAGTACAGTCCAGTCGGTGGAAAGATAAGATTAATGTAAGTTAGTTGATGTTTCAATTTATCACTGCTTTGACTCCAATCCTTCTGCAACATTTTTCTCTTCACAATTCATATTTATTGATTCCTATGCAATAAATCTCTTTATAGTACAATTTTTTCTTCAATTTTAAAAGTTTCTTAGTGATTGTTTTTTCTAGTTAACTCCAGTTATTTCTTGTTTTACTTTATCATTACCAGCGAGCACTTCACCTTTCAAGAGAAGCTGTGATTACCTTGGAAGTTTAACTTTGAA